TACGATTTCAAATTTAGAGGTAGGAATATACCTTGCTCAAGGGTATATTATATATATATTTTTAAGTAGCCACTAATCAATGGGAATCGAACCCGTGCCATTTGCTCCGATACCAATTGTAGCACACCTTATCTCTCTCCCCTTAAACCAACTGGAAAAGGGGCAATTGCTTGATGAGAGAGCCTTTAGTGGCTATTTTATCCCCATTTATCCCCCACGGTTCCAAGGATCCACGGTGACAGTATATCCAAATCTCATCCCATGATCACATGCGTTACAGCATCACTGAAAAGGTTAGCCATACATGATTAATACTAAGCCGAACTAAAATGAAAACCATAAGATGGACTCATATGGTGCACAACCAGCTAATGGATAAAGCTATAGTATAGGTATTAATACTTTAACTATTTATAGTTAAATTGAACATTACCGTCCTTAGTTGAAGTATAAAACCACCAATACTAAATCAAGATCAGTGAAAGTTTACTACTCTTATAAAGTTTAACAAAATACAATATGCAACCTACCATAAAGTATTACATTACAGAAGAAAGGCATAAAGGTCATCTTTTTACAAAAACACAATAGCCACTTTTTTATGCCAACTCTAAATTCTATCCAGCTTAATTGCCTTAGCCCCAAAAATTAGCATCTCTTTCAAGCTGCATAATTCAAACTACTTACTAAAGTCTAATTTAACTGAAGACCTCTTCACTAGTTTGTATTGGCTTATAAAAATGAAATGGTTTTCAGGTAAAATAATCAATAGATTAGTAATTGGAAAAATATAAAAAAAAATTATAAAAAGATTTTCCATCCAAGAGAAAGAATATCTCTCAATCCAAGAATACAAATTCTTAAAACTCAACCATCTTTCTCCTACTTATAACTTCACATAGATTCACCTCAATATAACTTCTCATGTCTCAACAGTATGCTTAAGTATCTAACAACAAGCTTATATATCCACCAATGATATTCACAAATGCTAATGAATACTCTAGACTTAATCATGAAGAACATATATTTAAATATCTATATTGCACTTACACTCTTCTTTAATCACATTCAAGATCCAATATAAAGCTAAAAAATTAACATGAAAAATGACATGAAAAATTAAGCTTTAAGAAAAACTTCGTATCATTCAAAATAATAATATCACTTCCACTAACATAAGTGTTACTAATGTGAATGCCTTAACTACACACGTTCTCCATCTAACAATCTACTCTTAAGTGTTAACATATTCACTAATAAATTATAGTAAATGAATGCTATAACTTCTCTAAAAAACCTTAATAAGCAAATATCCAAGAAGCCAAGGTACCAATGCTATCTTAGCATAAAATGGATCACCATCAACCTCTCTCTATGAGAAATACACGCTTTGGGGTTTCACCCTAATCCCATGAGTTAGTCACTAGAATAATCATTAAAACTTACTAAATATGAAATAGCATTAAATTGTAAATTTTAACATAGAAGCAATAATATTATGTTTAGGACAATCTCTACATTCTATAAATATTCCTAAGTAACAAATCTAGAAACTTTTCATAAATAGCTAATGGGACCAAAACAAAACCTACATATGGCAAGGATGTCTAGAAGACATAGTAAGATATTATGTAATGATATTAAGACTAGACCTTAATACACAAGGGTTCATATCACTAGCCAGTGCAAAACACAACTAAGTGAGAACTCTTTATTTAATAGCCCTAGAATATTTAGCATCCCAATATTAGGACCAACATGCAAAACAAAGCTAAATAGAGTTTAGTATTATTTTAGCATATTGGTATTCTATGGGTACTTCACCAACTAGCATGGTTTGGAGCTTGGACTTTAACTCAAGCTAGATGTAAAACAAATACAAGTATGCCAACAAAGAGCTAGATTATGTGTTAGATTGGTTAGTCATGCATGAATTACTCACTATCCTTACTATATATTAGGAATCCCTTATAGCCCCCTCTCAAAAACACATTCTTTATCCCAAGAAGTTAGTCTCTATGATAATCATGAAAACTTACTAAATATAGAAATGGTGCTAGATTGTGAATCTGGGCATGAGAACAACAACATTGTATTCATGATAATCTCTACATTCCGTAAATATGCTTGACTAACAAATCTAGACACTATCTATAAATAGCCAATGGGACCAAATGGAATTAATACAGATAGCAAGGGTGTCGTGGCAGACACGGTAAGCTATCATGTAATGAGTTTTAAGGGACCAAGTTATAAGCCATAAATTTTACTTTTCCAATTTGTCAGCTTATCTTATCTATCCGACCAAAGTTGGTTCCTTACATCCTGATTATCATCACCCCCCCCCCCCCCCCCGCCCCCCATGGTTACTATTACAAATATGACTATAGGTATTAAAAATTATCTATTAGCAAGTCATTTTGAATATTCTTTCCTTAACAAAAGGTTGGTATTGCTTGACCCTTTATCAGTCTTCATCTAAATTAGTTGAGAAACTAGTCAATATATATGCACTTAGAGTGGAAGGGCATTAAAGAAGGAAAGTTATCATTTACTTAAATATATTTGATATGGTGATAAGAAGCTTATGTTATTTGCTTGCATTTACTAGTGTTAGGACCTTTGCAATATTGAGCTTATGTAAGGAACCAACTCCCTAAAGTATCGTAACGATAAAAAATTTATCAAATAAGACCGAGTCCAAGATCGAGTTTAAGACCAAGTTTGAAATTGACTCTGAGTTCGAGATCCAAGATTGGGTTTGAGACCAAGTCTGAGATCAAGGCTGAGGCCAAGTCTAAAGTCGAGTCTAAAATCGAGTCTAAGACCGAGTCTGAATACTAATACAGGTCATGGGGTGAAAGCCCAAAGCATATGTCTACCTCGGAGGGGGCCTGCAATGGGTTCCAAAAGTATAGTAAGTGACATAATGAGATTTAGAAACCAATCTTAAAGGAATTCTTTAGTGGTGCTTCTAAATGAACTTGAAGTTGAGACTGGGGCTAAGGGCCTTAAGTGAGAGTGAGCATGGACTTAGGTGGTGCTAAAAAACCCACCCAAGAAAATGTTCAAAAGCAACTCCCACTCTTGAAAGGGAAATTGATTACGATGCTCCTAACTCAAGTGAAATAGTGCCCCACTTGAGTATTATATAATTCATTAGTCCTCAGTCCTTCTTAAGTGCTTGGGCCTTCCTTTTGGGATGGAAGTGGGGGAGTCAAGTCACCCATACCTGGCTGTCAGACTACAGTGTCTTCCCCCTAAAGTTCCGAAGCAAAAGATGCACCCAAAGCTTGGGATTAAAAGGTCCTATGATTAAATGTTGTTGTATCGAGGGATGTTAATAATTTGGAGGTTTAGTGTGTTTGGCTACTTGTGTTTACAGAGAGTGTAACTAAACCTTAAGTTCAGTCTAACCTAAAGAGCGGGATTGGGAGAGAATTTAGGAATCTGTGAATGGATGGTTAATATTTTGTTGCTCATGTAGTGAGTAGTTGAAACTAAGTAAAACCAAGTAAAAGTTCATAAAATAGGTGGGAATCTTGGCAAGGGAACTTAATTAAAGTTAAGGCAGTGGACCCGAGGTGTTGTAGACTAAAGGAACCCATGATAAAGAGTTCATCGGATAAAACCAAGTCTGAGATTAAGTTCGAGACTAACTTTAAGACCAAGTTCGAGACTGAGTCTAAAATTAAGTCTGAGTTCAAGATCGAGTGTGACCAAGACCAAGTCAGGGATTGAGTCCAACACCGAGTCAAAAGTCAAGTTCAAAATTGAGTCTGAATACTAATATAGTGGGGTGAAAGCCAAAGCATGTGTCTCCCAAACAGGGGGGGCGGGGGGGGGGCGGGGGGGGGGCGAGTGGTTCCAAAAGTATAGTAGGGATAGTGAAGTTTACAGACTAATCTTGAAAAAATTCTTCAGTAGTACTTTCAAACTGACTAAGGTTAAGACTGGGGTTTAGGGGTTTTAGGTGGGAGTGAGCATGGACTTGGGTGGTGCTAAAGGGGCCATCTAAAGAAGTGCTTAAAAACAACTCTCACTGCCGAAAGGGAAATCAATTACAATGCTTTTGACTCATGTGGAGTGATGTTCCATTTGAGTATCTTGTGGCTCATTAGTCCTTACACTTTCCTAAGGGTTTGGGCCTTCCTTTTAGGATGGGATTTAGTGTTTAGGGGAATGTAGTTGAACTTTAAGTTTAGTCTAACTTAGGGAGGGGGATTATGAGAGAATGTAGATAGATGGCTACACTTCATTGTTTATGTAGTGAATTGCTAAAACCAAATAAGACCAAATAAAAGCTAATATAATAGATAGGAACATTGGTAAGGGAACTTAACTAAGGCCAAGGTAATGGTAGTCAAATAGACAAGGTAAGCTGACAAATTAGAAAAATAAACTTTTGTGGATTACACAAGACAATCAAGCTAGTAATGACAATTGCTAAATTTAATTGCTCCAATAATATTGCATATTGGAAATAAACCACATCACTCATATGGGATATATGATTAGTTTTTAGTCCTCCCAATAATTTGAATTTTGAGCTATATGGCAAATACATTTATTTTACAATATGGCCATTAAATTCAATTTGTTTCTCAAATGCTTGTAAACTTTAGCTCATATAATGTTAACTATGGAGAATGAACCAAGATAGTTAAAGTATGGCTTCTAGGAATAGAAAAACTATGATAAGAATAGCAAAGTTGTCACAAAAAATTGCCCCATTATATCTCATGGAATTCCAATCGTTCCCCTGACTAAAAACTGCTGCTCTCTAGGTCAAACGCAGGCATGTGGAGAGCATGTGGGCGCCAAAAGTTTAAAACACGGATCGAACGGAGCATATTCTGCCAGTCCTGCCAGGAGTGAGCTGGCTGGCAAACGGTGGCTGGCCACTATTGGAAAAAGCGGTGGCCATTTGTACGACCAACCAATCGTTTTCCGGTGTAAAAGACAGTTGGAATGGGCGGACAGATGTAGGGCCAGGATTGACGCTGGGATTACGTATGCGGAATGTCATGGTTTTGTGGAGCATTCATTCGTTCGCACCGCATTGGCATTGGGAAACGAAGAAAAGAAGGCCGCTCTCTTTCTTGAAGCTACCTATAGGGTTAGAATGGGCGGTGGGATTGATCCATGGCGGCGGTGCGCGGGAGCTGGAGGTCAGTGTAGGTGATTTTCTTCCTTCAATCCTTGCTGCTGGATCTAGGCGCAAGAGTTTCGTCGCGAAGAAGCAAGCGAGGTTTCAGTGCTGCTAAGATTCTAGGAGCTCGTCCTCGTCGATCGTCTTCGATGGAGAGATTTAGAGCTGGGGCCATGGCGGCAGCGAGAAATCCATGGAAGAAGCTGCTCTTGCTGGTACTGCTGCTGGTATCGCTGCATTGGAGGTGCTCTGCGACGACGAATCCCGGCGACCTGGCGGTCTTACAGAGTTTTCTCCAGGGAATCGACCAGAAATCAGTGCTTACAAACTGGAAGAACAGCGATCCTTGCGGGGACCGATGGATTCACATCAAATGCACTGGCGCGGCCGTCACAGCCTTGGAGATGAACAACCTCCAGCTCGGTGGAACCGTCACTCCCGACATCAACAAGCTCAGTTCTCTGGATTCGCTCCAGCTCCAGCAGAATGGTTTCACGGGATCGCTCCCATCTCTCAGCGGATTAACGTCCCTCTCGCGAGCTTACTTTGGTGGCAATTCCTTCGACACAATCCCGGGCGATTTCTTCACTGGGCTGACAAACGTGATGGAGATTTTCCTCGAGGACAACCACGTCAATTCTACACAGGGGTGGTCGCTTCCAGCGGACATCCAACACTGTTCCAATCTACAGACGCTGTCCATCACCAACACGACCTTGGGTGGAACAATCCCAGGTTTTCTCGGTACGATGAGCAGTCTCAAGAACCTCTACCTGGCCTACAACACTCTCCGGGGTGGCATTCCGGCAACTTTTGCGGGCTCCAACTTGATAAAGTTCCAGGCGAACAACCAGCAGGGAAACGAGCCACTTACGGGATCTATCGATCCCGTTGCGAGCATGCAATCGCTGACGACGCTCTGGCTTCATGTCAACCAGTTCTCTGGAGTGATTCCTCCCGGTCTGGGCAACTTATCGTCACTGCAAGATCTCAAGCTCAACGACAATGAGTTCGTGGGAGTTGTTCCTCAGTCGCTGACGCAGCTGCCGGCTCTCAAGAATTTCACCATCAAGGGGAACATGCTCGTCGGGCCCATGCCGGAGCTTGGCTTTTCTTACGATGGCTCCACCAATGGATTCTGCCAAGCCACTCCAGGTTTGCCGTGCGATCCCCGCGTCACAGCTTTACTAGACTTTGCTGGCGCCGCCGACGCGTTTACGTCTCCGTGTATGACGACATGGAAAGGCAACGATCCCTGTAGCTGGACCGGTATAAACTGTGTCAGGGGGACCGTGACAACGATACAACTTCCGAATTGCCAGCTTAACGGCAGCATCTCCACAGCGCTGGCAAACTTGACGGGTCTCACGGCACTGGATCTCCGGAACAACCATATCTCGGGCTTGCTACCTGCAGCAATCGTTCAGATTCCGACGCTGAGAAACCTCAACCTCTTCAGGAACCGCTTGTCTGGGCCGCTGCCACCTTTCCCGAGTGGCTTGCAAGTCAATGTGGATGAAAATCCGCTGACCCCCGTGTCGCCTGCCTCAGGGAGCGGAGCCAGCCCGTCGGGTTCGTCCGGTACTCAGGCTCCAGGTTCTCCGAACGCTCCTTCTGGAGCGGAGCAAAGTACCCGAAGGAAAGTGTCACCGGCGGCGGTTGCTGTGCCAGTTGTAGGCGCTGTGGCGGCAGTGGCTGCTGCTGTCAGCGTCTTCGTGATGTGTAGAAGAAAGAGGCCTCGGTTCATGCGGGTACAGAGCTCCAGCGCGATCGTGGTGCATCCAAGGGACTCGAGCTTCGAGAGAGAAACAGTGAAGTTGCCAACGAGTGTTGCTAAGGAAGGACACAGCGGGCCGAGTGAGGTGCGGGTAGAGACTGGCAACCTGGTTATCTCCATCCATGTTCTACGCAAGGCAACAAACGGTTTCAGTGAGAACAGCATTCTAGGCAGAGGTGGCTTTGGCGTCGTCTACAAGGGGGAACTTGACGATGGAACAAAGATTGCGGTGAAGCGGATGGAGTCAGCGGTGGTGAATAACAAGGGACTTAGTGAATTCCAGGCAGAAATCCAGGTCCTCACCAAAGTCAGGCATCGCCATCTCGTGGCACTGCTCGGCTATTGCATAGATGGCAACGAGAAGCTCTTAGTGTACGAGTACATGCCACAGGGAACACTGAGCCAGCACCTCTTCGAGTTTGCAAAGCATGGCTATCATCACCTTACGTGGAAGCACCGGTTATCGATTGCGTTGGACGTGGCCAGAGGGATCGAGTACCTTCACGGGTTGGCGCACAAGAGTTTCATCCACAGGGACTTGAAGCCGTCAAATATTCTACTCGACGACACTTTGCACGCCAAAGTCGCGGATTTTGGACTGGTGAAGCTTGCACCAGAGGGAAAGGTCTCTGTGGAGACGAGGCTGGCGGGCACATTTGGCTACCTTGCGCCAGAGTATGCAGGTAAGGAATTATCAACTCTCATACTTGTCGTTGAATTTGTATTTCCTTGCAGTGACGGGGCGGGTGACTACGAAGGTGGACGTTTACAGCTTTGGAGTAATTCTGATGGAGCTTATCACCGGTCGACAAGCTTTGGACACAAGCCGCTCGGAGGAGACGATGCACTTGCCAACTTGGTTCAAGCGCATGAGAGTAAACCGGGAAACCTTCAGGAGCTCTCTGGATCCCGTCCTGGAGGTGACGGACGAAGAGTTTGAGAGCATCTGTAGCGTTGCGGAGCTCGCGGGCTATTGCACAATGCGAGAGCCGTATCAGAGGCCCGACATGAGCCATGCCGTCAACGTGTTAGCTCCAATGGTGGAGAGGTGGAAGCCGTCAATGGATTTCGATGCCGAAGAGGGTGGTATAGACCTGGGATTGAGCCTGTCGGAGGCGTTGAGGAGATGGCAAGAATCAGAGACAGGAATGGACGAGACGCGGACGAGCCTTCCAACTCGGCCTCCTGGCTTTGCGGATTCATTCTCTTCCACGGACGTGCGGTAGAAAGTCTGGTTCGCAACGACATCTATCAGCTAGAAAGAAGATATTGGATTCAACGAAAAAAATGGCAACAAAAACTGGGAAGAGATGGGAAAAGGAAGAAAGAAAGAATTGATCAACGCGGACATGGCCGGGCGGAGCTCAACTATTTGGTGACAAGCTTGTGCTGCTGCTGCTGGTGTTGGCGGACAGGATCTCGTTGACAGCGGCTGACGAGTCGAACATGTCGGGAATCCAGTCAAAGGCTCCATGATTTGCGACTTTTTTATCGTTAGAATCGTCAACATTGGAAAGATGCCAGTGAATTCCGCTGCAAGAGCTTGGAGACGATGGCCCTCCTGTCAGCTGGCTTGGGCTTGATTCGGAGTCGCTTAGAATGCTGTCATACCAGACGTCCGGATACTTTTGCTGCTGCGGAGGCTGCACGCAACAAGAACAGGCAACCGAAAAGCTCGAGTTGCTGCTCAAGTTACTGGTTCTTTGCAAGGACTCCCTGTATGCTGCTGCTGCTGGGTACAAAACAGACGAATGAAGAGAAGGGGAAGAAGAAAACGAGGAAGAAGATCCCAGCAGTAGAGGACCAGTACCGGCAGCAGCAGTGGCGGCGGCGGCATTTGGAAGCGGAAATAAAGAGCTGGTGGCAGCTTGATGAGAAAGGAATTGATTGAAGTTGGGAATTTGGAAGCGGTGGTGAGGAGGAAGGCTCATCATTCGAGGACGCATGGAACTTGGAAGAATGATCCTGGGCTTCGCAACGCTGCTACCACCAGCGCTCCCTTGTCGAGAAGACGAAGAAAATGACGGGGGTGATGGCCGGAGGTTGAGCTGAGCTCGGGAGCCGTAGAGCCGCCAGGCTGCCATGTCGTAAGCTTGAGCAGCGTCTTGAGCAGTCGCAAATGTTCCCAGCCATACCCGAGTCCGCCTCCTCGGCTCGCGGATCTCGGCTACCCATCGTCCCCAGCTCCGTTGCCGGACACCTCTGTACGTGTAAAGACCGTTCTCTGGACCGCCTTTCCCTCTGGCTCTCGCTCTCCTTCCTCCTTTCTGGGAAGAAGGACGGGCATTGGAAGTAGCAGCAGCAGCAGAGCTCACTTCCTCCGCGACTGCTGGAGGCTGGATTGGCGCTGGTGGTGGTGTTGGAGGCGGTGCTGAATTATCCATCGACGGTGGTGGTGAGCAGCGCTGTGAATTGAAATGCTTTCCAGTTCAAACTTCTATCATCCGAGCTGCTGCTCGTCCTTTCTCAAGTAAGTATCCTTCCTCTACTCTAGCACTGATCTAACTCTGCTTTGTCTATTCTTTCAGCTATAGCACTCAGCTCAAGTCCCTCAAGGACAACGGTACGAATATATAGCTAGAACTCGTCTGCTCTCTCTCTCTTCTCTGTCCCTGTCTCGTTTCCTTCCTCTTGAGTAAATGGTCTCATGTGATCTTCCTTAGTTGTTTTCCAGTATGGGAAGTGAAGAAGATCTACAGATTCTCGGCTACCTTGGACCTCGAGCCTTGACTATTCACGCGCTGGCTGGCTGTTTGGTCACAGGCGTTGAGGTATAGTAGCACAGACTCACGCTCTCCAGCCAGGCTCAAAGTTCTGCCTTTCTTTTCCTGCCTCTGGGAGAGCAAAGAGATCGTCCAGTCCAGATTCTCACGGAGCAGCAGCAGCAGCAGCAAAACCAATCCAATTCACGAGCGACGAGATCGAAGACAACGAGACGAGAGCGCGTGAAGCATCGCTCGAGAGAAAGAAAATAATAGAGGAGAGAATTATTTGGTTTCGTGACCCATGAATGAATGAATGGCGTACGGACACGTGTCGTACCGATCTCTTGCTTGCTTTGCTCGCTGCATTCCCAACAACACAACATGGTTGTGTGACCCAAAATAGAAACTCTCTCCGGCCACATTGTATTCCAAAATAGTATCAGCACATAAAAGTTATTAAACTCTCCCATTGTTTTTGTGGTGTGGACATTACGTAAGTGTAGTATGTCCTTGTTTGTAGAAGGAAAAGAGAGAGTGGCAAATTAGCAGTGCCTCTAGCGATCGCCATCCAAAACCAAACTGGCCCGGCGAAACACCCGAGACGAGGAACAAAGAAATGGTGGTATAGTTTTTAAAGCTTTTTTAACTTCATGGAAGGGGACATTGGAAGCGAGGAAACGAGATACGCAATTCAAGTCCAAATCCAGCTGCGCTGGTCACAGGCCGCCAGCCTTGTTACTTGGGACACACCACAACAACCATGATAATCTGTGCCAAACTTTCTCCCACGGTCAACGGGAGTCAGCGGTGGTCAAACACTCTTTGACTCGACCGCTTCCTCGCGAGCTAGAGGCGGTGCTGCTGGAGCCACTCTCTCTCGGACATCGGTCGCAGGAACCCGTGCTTCTTCTCGTTTGCGATGGAGGTGGAAGGGCCACCATAGTTGTGACCAGGATAGACTCTACAAGGAAGCAGCGAGCCATGGAGATATATGTCAATGGAAACAACGCTACCTCGTGGAATCGGGCAAGGATGCAAGTTTCTTCTGTAAGCTTGTGTACATGGCCTCAACACTGCAATCTGGAAGATCCAATCTCCCGCAGCTACGTTTTTTTTGTTGTTTTTTGAGCGTCATCTATCACATAGAAGAGTCGATTTAGAGTACCTGGAAATGAAGAGAGTATCGCCGGAAATAAGGATGTCCTCAGCCGGAGCTCTGGACAGCATTGCTTTATCAAAACCGGAGAAAGAAGAGGTGAGTGACACGCACCGGTTGATACGAATGCACTGGCTTCCCGGAGTGTGACCCGGTGTGTGTATGAACTCCAGTTTCACGCTTCCCACCATCACAGTGCTCAAATCCTGAAAAGAATTGGAAATAGACACTCAAAGCACGACGATCACCACTTACATCCAACTCGACTATAGACTGCGCGGGCACCTCGTTCTTGGTCTTGATTGTTCCAGCGTCATGCTTGTTGACATAAATCTATAAGACACAAGAAAATGGAAAAGGAAAAGTTAGAACCAACACAAGAAATACAATGGCTGTACCGGGAGATTATCTTCGACTGCCAGTTGACGCACTCCCGGCAGCTTGATCATAAGTCGATCGAAAGGAGGCGGAGGGGGGCCTCCAGTATGATCAAAGTGATAATGAGTAGCTACAGCACCGACCTTTAGCGAGAGAAAGAAGTTCTTTTAGAATGATCTCCCAAAATAAAATTCACTTACAAGTTTTATGTGTTCCGCATCTGCGAAGGCTTTGATTCCCTAGTGGAACTCCAATAAAACAAGATTTTTTCCACGCATGTAAGGACTTACTTTGACGTCCCATGCCGGATCGACCACTACAGCCTCGCGAGTTTTCGCATCGCCAACCAAATAGACGTAGTTTTGCATCTGAGCTCCAGCGTTGAAAATCTGAAGTAAACATCTCATTGTGGCGAGCTATACTTTGAGCAGCAAAAAATAAGCCTCACTCACCTGCGTTTCTATTATATTCCCGGGGTTTAGACAGAAATCTCTTCCCGCTAGAAGCTAGAAAAAAAGTGGTCTTGTATCAGTCAAAAGAAATAAGTAAACTCCAGCGAAAAATCATACCTGTCGAAAGTAGAAGTTCCCATTTACAGCTTCACGCGTGAGACGGAGTTTTCTACCGATGGTTTCATCTGCTGGAGACTGCAAGCTACACAGATAAAGATAAAACGAAAAACTCGAAAGCAACAAGGAAAAGAGAGCGAGATCGTACCAGTTGAGCTGCTTGTGCATATGCTTCCTCCGCACGGGCGTAATCCCGCATCGCAAAGTAAACTTCCCCGCATCGAAAGTGAGCCTACATGAAAAGAGGAAAGAAAAAAAACTTTCATCACATTTTCTCCAAGGATTCGAAGAACCGCTTACTTTGCTCCATTTGCTGTTTGCATGCACGGATTTAATTGCTTCATCCAAGGCCTAGTTGGATTGCAAATGATCGCATTTAAAGTTATGATTGATCGCTTCAATACCTCGATCAGTTGCCCCAGCTTGAGGTGCGCAAACGAGCAGTTGCTGTGCAAGGCCGCCAGATCATCCGCTCTCGCTGGATCCGCCACGGCAATCGCGATCGCCTGCTTGTAGTGATCTAGAGCTTGGGCGAAATCGCCCGCCTTGACCGCCTCGTTCCCCTTGCCTTTAGCCTCCTCCATCTCCGTGACCTAAACACTGTTGACTATCATTGACTAGTGCCAAATTTGATTTGCTTGTACTACATATTCTAAAATTGTTGCCATGCTACATAAATGTGACAAATAGGCTGCAATGGATGGCGCCACAATCAAGCTTAAGGTGCTCAGAGTTTTATTGAAGCAGATGGATAGTATTGCATACCAGGAATATAACCTGATGAAAAGACAAGATCAAATGTCAAAACTGGTGTTGACCTAATTAAAAGGTTTGTAAAAAGAGTCAGGCCTCAAATTTGTACCCTGAAGAGCCCTGCAAAGGCATGTTTATCTTGCATTTGAGGATTAGTTTCTAATTTGCCATTACTTGAAGGGTAGGGTTTGCCACGTGGCATACATTTTGAGGACAAATTCAAAATATTTTAGCCCTATCAAAGCATATTATCTTATTAATATGCTTGGCTGAAATGGAAACAAATAAAAAAATGTTGATCACGAATCATTGTCAAAGTTTACATAGAAAGAAATCTTATTAAACCAATAGATGGGGAAAAATGTAAAAGACTTTGCCAACAAAAAATGGATTAATGGTTTTCAGAGATGATATTTCCATGATAGATATATATTATAATTTGATGGAACTGTGAAAAATCATCTTCTTGAAATTTTTAAACACTTGTTTGTGCTAAACATGGATTTTCTTGTCAAAATCAACTAAAAACTACTTCAAGATGCTCTCTACTTTAGATAATTTTATGTTCTTCTATTTAAATGGTGATGATGACTACAATAAGATTAACTAGGGGCATGTTAATGATAAATGGCATCAAAAAGAGAGAGAAGGATTTTGTGTGATTGAACTAGTTGTATTAGAAGCATTTTTTATATATAAATATCTATATATTAGGAAGTATAAGTTAAATTTTTATCTTGCAAAATAAAGGACAATTGTAATATTCACCTTTCCTATTGCAAGGCAAAAGAAATTGCCTTGTAAAATGTAACACTTAACTACCTTCCAAATTTAAAGCTTGCAAAGAGTCTGATGTAGTTAGGCCAACTTTATCCATGGTAGACATCTTTGGGTAACACACACTTTGGGAATGATTAAATCCAAAACTTGTAATGAGCAATAAGTTGCCTAACCTGTCACAAGGCTTATTGCAAGAGTATGGCTTCAATTTAGTTTATGGCTAATCTTGAGCCTTCAAAGATATTTCCAGCTTGTAGCACAAGGCTATGATTAAGAAGAAACTCAAAAACACAAGTGAAGTACCAATTATGTTTTTTTTTGTTTCAATAAAAAATACCAAACTTATATCTTCTTGGTTGGAAAATATTTCATAACAATATATGCAAAAACAGATATTTATTGATTAAATGCAGTATAATATAACATTATGAAACTTTAATCAATATAACACTTAAGCATATATATTTTGATTGAAATTACTTGATCTTAATAATTATTCTCTAAGACTATTTTTCTTGAAAGTGCATCAAATGTTTAGTGTCCCTTAAGAACCAATAACATCATACCCACTAAAAACTAGGTGGGGCTATCTTTATGGTGCTTATATCTTTTAACATTTACTATAGAGAATGAAGATTAACACTATTACATGATGCAAATATAAAGTGCTCAAACTTAAGATGAAGAAGTGGTTCATACTTTTAATCTTAAATTTTTATCATACTCATCTATCATAACCTAAACTTTTTATTTCCAGAAGTTAAACCATTGTTTACTTGGATAATTTCATCACCAAATGTCCATTATATAAAGAAGAGGATTTCCACTTTGATCACTTTTAAAGAAATTAATACCTTTTATAGAACCTATATTTAATCCAAAATCACTACGTAGTACTGGAAAAAGTCATAGTCAATCCTTATATCTAAAAATACAACTCAAATCTCTGCACAAATGTAAATATGATCTAATACAATAAGAATAAATATTTCCAAACTTATTGGTAGAATAATATAATAGGATATCCATTATAATTCTTTAGCTAATCCAAATTCAAGCTTATATTACCTAGTTTACAATAGCACTTTATGCTTCTTAATACAATTATTCTTAAAGCACATATTTTAATAAAATTTTGAAGTAGTTAATGCAAGTTAGTGCTGGCACAATACTCGAGCTAAATTGCCATGGACACATATCAAGTTTAGAGTTTAGTTAAATTTCATCCTAATCAGTATAATGGTTTTTATTCAAGTATTACTTTAGAGGTAAGGAATTTGATACCCTTAAAATCTTATAATACTCTAAATCACAAAAAGGTTTTATTTTATTTTATATAGAGTTTTTATGAGAAAGATTAGCTGCTACAATCCTTCAGTTTGTGCTTATGTTTGATAACAATAGATGGTTTTGGTGTTAGAAAAACGATATGCAATAAATATTAGTTTTAGGAGGATATGTGTCAAAGAAGAGTTTGCTGATAGCCAAGTTATGAGAAAATCTAGTATATACTACTTGTGATGTAACAATTAACACAAGGTGTGAGTTTATTGTTATGGAAAAAAAATTACTGTGACAAGGACTTTGGCTTTTCTTTAGTGACTTCCAAAACAAATTCTAATTTAGAGACAATTGCAAGATATAACATATTTTTTGCCAGCATTTTGTAGTTCATATTTATGGATTACTTTCATGGTGAGAGAAAATTTAACTATATTTATTAATGTTAAATAGATTATATATGGGGAAATTGATGGGTACTATCTTCATGAGACTCCTAGTTTGTGACTAATGCTGGTGATGGTAGTGATGGTGGCCACAATTATGAATAAAGTCATGGACGAGGAAGAGGAGGTTATGGTTGTGGTTCATAATGATACTCATTAATAATGAGCTAGATTTTTATATTGAATAAAATTGATAGTAGTGTATAGTATTTTAGACCATATTTGTTAAGAAATAAATCATAACCATCAAACATTAAAAACTCTGAATCGATCATATAAAAATAATATCCCTAAAGTACCATTTATTTATCTGACAAAACACATCTTGCATCTTTAATAACGAATGTGTTTTATATGTCTAAGTTGTTAAGGCACTTATTATCTTTCTAAAGAATATCCATCTTTGCTGTCTGTTTCATTGGAATATATATATATCTTTACCCCTTCGCAAGCTCTAAATTTTGGATAATATAGTTAAAATAATTTAGATATTGAACTAATACCTCTTTTGTACACTTATTTGGATTTACCAAAAATACAAATAAGCATTTAGATGGATATCCCACAATATTATACCAATGAGATTGGCCTAATTATAACATAAAATAATATTAAGGAGTTTATAAATTTATATACTTATCATGAGAATGAATTTTTTTCTTATATACATTTTTTTCATTTCAAATTCATTAATATTTGTATTGTCACCACCTCCTACTCCAGCTACTGACCCTAGTGTGGTTTATATTAGAAATCCCTTTGTTCTTAATGTAAATATATTCAGGCGCACTTTAAGGCATACTTTATTGTATATTTACTCAAGGTTTCAAGATGGCCAAACATATCCCCCATCATTACAAACTTTGATCATCATCTTTCGTAGATCAAGGATTAGGATGACTGTAAATTTATATATTTTAGCTCCTGGAGTCACTGGTCCAGAGAGTCTTGTATCATATACTTGCACAACTGATCCAACAAGCCCATTTGGTTATCAAGGTCCTGAAATTAGAATAATTTTTGAAAGAATTGTAACCTCTATTGTTGACTATGCTGCATCAGACCCTCATCGTATATCTTTTTGTGCAGAAATTCGAGTTGTATTTTTAAATCTTATGATTGATTATACCTTCTCTGCAATGCTTCCTCATGATTTATTAATGCATATCAATTCTACTGATAAACCAATATCTATAATTCCAATAAAAAAAGTAATTCCTTTGCAAATAAAGGATGTCTATAGTGAAAATTGTTGGGCATTTTCAACTGTACTTGTTGGGCAAAATGCTGATATTGTTGGCTCAACTATTGATATTAATAATAGTATAACTTCAGGAAATAGAAAATTTAAACTAACCTTAGATAGTAATTGCAAGCTAGTGCTATATAGAATTGGGTATAACTCTATCCTTTGGACTAGTAAACATAACTTTAAACCTGTTCAAAATTGTTATGCACATTTGCAAAAGGATGGTAATTTTGTGATTAAAGAAGATAATACATATCTGCAACCTAAAGATGATAATAGCAAATTTATTTATTGGGCTAGTAATATTTATTGCAAACCACAACCTTCATGTGAGATCACAACAACACTAGTTATTACAAACTATGGTAATGTTATTATTTATTGGAAAGGAAGAGTCTTTTGGAAAGCTCTTTAAATTACTAAATTAAAAATTGTTAACTTGAATAAATTTTTTATTAGAAAATTAAATATTATGAAACTCATTTAAAACACTTCTAAGACTTTCATCATTAAACAGTAAAGAATGCCATATGGGTTATAGCCTACTCTATACCCTTCTGACCCAATTCAATTACAAGTCATTCATTTTTTTTGTCACGACTTCCACTATGTCCTCCTTTATTTTCTTCATCTCTACTTGGATATCCACTGTAGTTGGCATTGGATTTGGAATTACATTTGTTAAAGCTTGCCATTGTCACTGTTGTTGGTAGCTATAGTCCATCATCCCAAGACTTGTTCTAAATACTCCAGAAGACTATTGTCTAGTAGGCATTGGTTGCTACAGCATACTTGCAGGACCTCTTATCATAGAACTCATCATTCCATTGCTGAAAGCTCCTAATCTAGGATTACTATAGTGGCATCTCATCTTGAGCTACACTTGCTCCCATGTTCTTACAAGACAAATTGCATCGGCCAAAGTTTGTGGATTATAGTATGAGACATGAAAGTTAACTGCATGAGGCAAGCCATTTATGTAGTACTGTGCTTGCTCCTCTTCTGTTAGTTGTGGTTGCTTCTTGAGAATCAATCCCTTGAACCTTAATGTATAGTTTTGTAAACTCTCACCCAACAAAAGTTG